GTGCTTCACGCTCGGGATATCGGGATAAGCCGGAGGGCACGGGCCATCTGGGGCCCCACGCTGTTAGAGCTCCCCCCAACGGAGCCAATTCGGAGACAGGTGGTCGACTTTCTGGTGCTGAGGGAAAAAACAAAGTTCTTTTTCCTTCCTTTTTTGTTCCTCTAGATTTCTAGAAATCCAGCATTTTCAGCGCAATCTTTCTCGTCTGTCCCTCGAGGTTGTAATTCTGCAATTGACTCGGTCTAGATCCCCTAGGTCTCGAGTTTCACCGCCGTTTTTCTTTTGTTTGTACAAAGGAAAACCTACACGCAGCCACCAACACCCCAAAAAGCAGATCCGTCATGCTTCGCTCGGCACCAGCTCGACGCGCCGCTTCCGGCCTGGCGAGCTCACGGCTTACCGTTAGGCCGAGGACATGCGCAAAGAGCCTCTCCACATGCTCGACCCGAACCGCCTCCCCCGCAGCTATTTACCCCGCGACGGCCGCTCGATCAACACAATTCACCAGCCCTTTCTCTCTCCAGAGAAGTCTGCACACCACCGTCACCAGAATGGCCGGCACCCGTACCGAGAGCGACGCCTTTGGCGAGATCCAGGTCCCTTCGGACAAGTACTGGGGCGCCCAGACTGAGCGTTCTCTCGAGAACTTCAAGATCAACCAGCCCCAGGACCGCATGCCCCCTCCCATCGTCAAGGCCTTCGGTATCCTCAAGGGCGCTGCCGCCACCGTCAACATGCGCTTCGGCCTCGACGAGAAGGTCGGCCAGGCCATCCAGCAGGCCGCCAAGGAGGTTGCCGACGGCAAGCTCCTCGACCACTTCCCCCTCGTCGTCTGGCAGACCGGCTCCGGCACCCAGTCCAACATGAACGCCAACGAGGTCATCTCCAACCGCGCCATTGAGATCCTCGGCGGCACCATGGGCTCCAAGAAGCCCGTCCACCCCAACGACCACGTCAACCGCTCCGCCTCCTCCAACGACACCTTCCCCACCGTCATGCACATCGCCGCCGTCCTCGAGATCGAGCAGGAGCTCATCCCCTCCCTCAAGAGCCTGCGCGACGCCCTCCAGAAGAAGGTCGACGACTTTGACGCCAAGAACATCATCAAGATCGGCCGCACCCACTTGCAGGATGCCACCCCCCTGACCCTCGGCCAGGAGTTCTCCGGCTACGTCGCCCAGCTCGACGCCGGCATCAAGCGCGTCGAGTCCTCCCTGCCCGACCTGCGCCTGCTTGCCCAGGGCGGCACCGCCGTCGGCACCGGCATCAACACCTTCGAGGGCTTCGCTGAGGCCATCGCCGAGGAGGTCTCCAAGATGACCGGCACCGAGTTCAAGACCGCCCCCAACAAGTTCGAGGCCCTCGCCGCCCACGACGCCATCGTCCAGGCCCACGGCTCCCTCAACACCCTCGCCGGCTCCCTGTCCAAGATCGCCCAGGACATCCGCTACCTCGGCAGCGGCCCCCGTTGCGGTCTCGGCGAGCTCGTCCTCCCCGAGAACGAGCCCGGCTCCTCCATCATGCCCGGCAAGGTCAACCCCACCCAGTGCGAGGCCCTCACCATGGTCTGCGCCCAGGTCATGGGTAACCACGTCGCTACCACCATCGGTGGCATGAACGGCCAGTTCGAGCTCAACGTCTACAAGCCTTTGGTCATCCGCAACCTGCTCCACAGCGTCCGCATCCTCTCCGACGGCATGCGCTCCTTCGAGAAGAACCTTGTCGTCGGTCTCCAGGCCAACGAGGAGAAGATTGCCAGCATCATGAAGGAATCGTGAGTTTTACACCTTAGTCATTGCTCATTTTGAGGTTTGCTAACAACACCATAGTCTCATGCTCGTCACCACCCTCAACCCCAAGATCGGCTACGACATGGCCTCCAAGGTCGCCAAGAACGCCCACAAGAAGGGACTCACCCTCAAGCAGAGCGCCCTCGAGCTCCAGGCCCTCACCGAGGAGGACTTTGACAAGCTCGTCCGCCCCGAGCTCATGATCGGCCCCAAGCCCTACAAGGCTTAAAAAGCCCGTGAAATGAAAACCCAACCCCAAAAAAATGTGTGTTTGAATGTGGCAAAATGCCACCGATCCCGTGTAAACTACGTAACGATATCCTGTTACCTATGACGAAAAGGAAACAATGCGGTCCCTTAAGCGAGCCGTTTTGTTGGAACTGAACCGTAAAAAATACATATAAACAAAAAACATATGAAGCCACATGCAGACCCTGACCCCGCCCCCGCGTTTTCACATGTATTCTTACGTATCCGCATGTGAGGCACCCCGCATTGAGGCTTGGGCGCAGCTGCCATCTCATCTCACATGCGAGATGTCACTCGAGCCATGAGAAAGGTACTTCTCTCGGACGGCTAGTGAGGATGAACTGAGCATGAAGGCCATGCATGAGACGAACAAGGTCAGCGACGCACAATTGCGAGCACTTCGCGCCAAGAGCTATACACCCACAATAGATACAGCTGAAAAAGGATGCCGTGCAAAGACTGCGGGAGATGCGTATGATCGTATCTCATTAAACCGCTGTCAATGATGAGTTCTCATGCGTTCGACCATCAGGGCTGCGCACTGAAGGGCTATAAATTTGCTGTTTCTGCTTTGAACAAGCTTTGGCCACACAAATGCGTCGGTGGTCTGCTGGTGGAACTGATGTCGATCCAGTGTCTCGAAACGGCAACCTTCTCACGTGTTGCAGGAAACAGGTAATAGCAATTCCAAGAAACTGCTAAAGCACGCATCGAGCTATGCTCAGCGTCTCTGCCGGCGGCTGATTAATGTAGATGAATAGACATAGAAGCGTTCAACATTCTCGTTCAATTCTCGTTCCCGCGCCTTGTCTTGCTCTTGTAGTGTCGAAAGTTTTGTCCCAAGCGGTTTCCCCTTCTCATTTTTGCATGAAGCTCAAGAACCCCCGACATCAATAAGCCATGAAAGATTCTCACGAGCAGCATCTCATGTACGAGCTTTATGACTGGCAACTTTCCGATGCTATGATTGAAGCCTTTTTAATGAGCAGTAGACCGCCTTCAGGACCTTTGGGACCACAATCGGCCCATGCAAGCTGGATCTCGAGCTCGGTTAAACTCCGGGCGGGTATAATTGAAGCAAACATTGATGTTCTATATGGTAATATTCATACAAAGTAAGAAGTCGTCTTTGCTGTTTCAATTCGTGGGTATTTATCATTGAATACATCAACTCAAGAGCCGCGCGAAGACGGCAACAAAGATTCGCCTCGTCTTTATAGTTATTCCTGGTCCCGCTGCTGTTCGAGGGGTAAAACTCCCAAGCATACACGAGGATGTGCTATCTCCATAGTAGAGGAAGCAACGCTACGAGAGCAATTTCATATGGTCGAGAAAATGAGTCATCTCTGGTCTTCGTAGAGTTTTGATAGCGATGATCAAGGCCCATTGGAAAACTTCCGGCCCAGTGTCTTGTGTTCCTGCGGAGGTTTGACGAGCGAAAACACCCCAAAAATGCCAATCTTCGAAATCCATTAGTATAGTGGGAATGGCATCGAAAATGACCCCAGGTATTACGAAAATGAGCGCGGTGCCTCATTCTTCGGTCAAATCTTGATCGTTCAACCGGTCATGTATATATAACCTACACCTTGTCAGGAATTAGGAATGGCCAGTAGTCGACCAAACTCTCCCAAGGTGTGCCTTTTTCCTGTCTAAACCTCCTATGTTACAAGAATGAGACGGAATGTCAGAAATTTCCTTTTGCATTAACCATAGCTTCATTGCTTATGTACCCTGGACAACTTCCAGTCAGCGGAAGCCAGCAGAGAAAATCTTGGCGGTCTTGCAAGTGTCTTTTGACAGGAGCAGATGTCACAGTCGATGGATGCGAAAACATGCCTCTTAGAAACATGATGTCGAGAATGCCGCGACGCACTTGGCTTCTTGTTATTCGAGAAGCTTGTGCCGAAGACAGACCATGAGTTTCATATCAGATGGACGACGCCAGCGAAAGGCTGCTTACTGCTTGGGTATAAATTCACAAGCACATGCATGTTCCATGTCACCATTAGGAGCAATGAAGTTCCCTTGGAGGAATGTCGATCGGGATCCATGAGGTGATAATTGTTGCTGCCTTCATGAGAAGTCGAGGCGATAAAGATTTGTCTAAGCCGTGGTCTACGCGCAACGTATTCGTTCGGATACACCAATACCGCCAAGGAAACTCGACCCAGATAAGGCAGCTCTTCGTTCGTCAATCTCTGAGATGAGTATGATGATATTGACTCAAGTAGTGGTGCCTATGTTGGACAAACCTTACACAATTTCCAAGTGGCGTGCCGTATCCCTGGATGGATGGTAAGGAGGCTTTGAACAACCACTGCCATCTTGCTTCTCTTAGGCTCCTGCAGTCAAATTCTTCGTGCTAAGTGGAATTGGGAAGTGGCATCCTTCAGAGATATTATTGAGCCTCTAGCGTTATAAGTTTACTGATGGAAGCTAACAAGAGCCCTCACGCCAGGACATAAATTACGATCTCAACCTCAATGAGCAGTAACAGTCTTGCTATCCGGGCGGATGCTTCTGACTAACCGGACGGAGAACTATCTTTATCAGCTCTAACAGTTCATTTTATCTCAACTATTTCATATTCCCCATCGTTCCTATCCCTCTTATCGTCGTCGTTGTACTCGTTATCGTTGTCGTCCCTAGTATGGTCTTTACCTACTACGAATAACTAAAAGTTTCAGCAGAGACCATCAAGTCCGCTGGTAAATGGAGCAAAACTTGTTGTGTAATAGGATGGTGCTCTCAAGCAGGCTTAGGCATTGAGCCGATAATCCTTTTGGTGTGTTGCGCATCATGGTGCATAGACACCTTGATACTTAGAGAGCTTGGTGGCAACCTTGTTTCCATCGGAGAAAGGGTGCAAATCACTCTTATCTTTCTCTTCATTCATTTATTCTCGTCCGTTTGTCTTCTTCCTTTCTCGTTGTACATATTCACTACCAGATTCTAACCATGTCTAACCCTAGAACCATTCCAGACGGCGACAAGGACATGATGACTGCCACCGCCCCTTTTAAGAACTCTCTCGAGACGTCTCCCAATGCCGGCAGCCCAGACTCAAACGCCCATACGGAACCAAACCATAGCAACCCCTACAACACTGAACAACAGCTCACGACATTGACAGGTGGCTTGCCCATCGAGGATAAGATCGAAGGCGAGCTTCGTCGTAGTGACAGACAACAGCGGCTGAAGATCTTGGCCAGCTTGTTTCTCCAGACGTGCCCTGGGGATTGGAGTAACGGCACCGATGTTGGATTGTTTGGACACCTCCATTCAGTGGTCGACGGGAAGAAGTTCGACTCGCACTTTGATACCATCGCAGTCATCTGCTTTCAATGGCAACTTGCCCGTCTAGCAGATGACTTGGTTCATTTGTTTAGCCTCCCCAAGCCCAACGGCGAAACCTGTCTGATGTGGAGATACCACGACTGGAAATTCAGCGCCAGCGCGGTGTTCCAACCCTTTGGCGAGCGTTATGGCGCAGTATGGGGTCGGTTTCTGCGCAGCTCTTGTGAGCTGCGGCCTACCAAGGGCCAGGGACCTCGTTTTTATCGCTTTCTGCAGTACATGACTGCGGCAGTTGTGGAGGCAGACCTGGGAGTGCACGCTACTGAGGCTCTCGTCGACAAACTTGCCCAGTACATTATTACCGAGAAGAAGAAACTGCAGAACCAGGGCTTTCAGGATAAGGAGACCCATCATCGGGGCCGGGACTGGATCAAGTCGGTTGGTCGAGCAGTTCATCGCTCTCTCTCCCCTCGCAAGTGACGCGACCGTTCCGACACCGCAACCTCGCGGCACTCTTGTTGAGGCTCGTAGAGTTCTGATATGAACAACAAGCCCACTTTGAGCTTTCCGCGGCCGACCGAGTTCCAGCGACCTTCTTTCGACCTTGTTCCGACACTTTCCGAGCGCAAGGGAAAGCGGTCCAAGGAGTGATCAATCTTCTTCGTCTTTACCGTCATGGACGCATTCATGATGAATACTTTGGAGGCTTTGACAGACAAGAAGGGGTTGTGTTGGGTGGACTTGAAGTCAACGGAGCATCATCCACGCCTCATTTGGCTTTAAGGTGGCCAGCAGTAACCCGCGACGAGTTGCCTCTGATAACCAGGTGCAAGATGAAGAGCTGACATTGGCCTGAAACACCAGAGGACGCGCCAAATGCGAGCGAGGTGGTGTTTTTAATCGACTGAAAGTTGCACTAGAGCGAATATCTCCTTGGATTCTGGAATCATTCTTGAGCTGGGCATCAACAGACGAAGAGAGGATTGGTATGGGGCTCTAGGCAGGCATACCAGGGAGACAACTTCGCATTCTTTTGTCACACTCGGCCTCTGACAACGTTATTTTGAATCCTCCCTCGGATTGAAATACCCATATCTTCTTCAACAGCCAAGAGTGGATCTGGTTTGAAGCTAGAAACGCCACTCTAGATCCCATCTACCCCATTTAAGAACTTCCAATAGAGCAACCCGCTTCATCCGAACACCCGCCCTGTGAGAATTCCAACCTTCTTGCCGTCAACCGTTCTTCCGGTAGACGGCACCATCGACGACACAAACATAAAGTGGAACGAGTCATTTTCAACGTCGGAACCGAGGCCGTCGCACCCGCACCCCCTCGGTCGCCGAACCACAACGGAAGGGGGAAGGGTACGGGGACGGGGGGAGACCAAAAAAAAGATGACATCAATTCAAATAGGAGTGATGGGATTGGCTTCCCCGATGGAGAATCCTTGCGGTCAATCCTTCTAGAAGGTTTAGACTAAATAGGACTATATATAGGATCCCTTGCCCCTCAGCGGCTAGATCGGAGTCGCAAATCGGCAAAGCGGCAACGCTCCATGTCGAAGTGCGATGACGATGTGCAGAAAATCTCCGTGGATTGAGCTGGTGGTTCCGTAGCTGAAGTGCCAAGACCGGGGGAAGGGTTCCATCGCATAAGAAGCTGGATTGCCTCTTAAATAGGAGGTGGTCAGAAATGAGGCTATCACGGCTGTCGGCTTGGTATCTACGGGGAGGCCGCACGCCGCTCGGGTCAGGGCGGCGTGTTTGCACTCTCGCCGAATTATTCACGTTTCGATCCACGATACACATTGAATTGACGGCTTCCCTCTTTCCCGTATCTGTTATGCGAAGATTCAGAGTGTTGTTGCAGACATTGAGGTGCAAATAGGGTACAGTCAGCCTGGGTCGGCTGTTGGACATGCACGTGGCGTTGATACAACTTAATAGGATTCAGCAAGCGCACACCCATATGCTTGGCATTTTGATGTATGGCCATAAGTAAACAATTCTCTTGCTGTGAGTTACCAAAGCCTTCAATCCATGCCCTGTGAGACGACGAGACGTCTTGGCTGGCTTGCGATAGATGCGTAGATGATCGATTTCGTGCTGTAACGCAAACAATATAAGAGCGGGTGTCTATACTTGTGTGAATTCAATCATCCAAGCACGATCTGCGTTTCTGCTTGATTGGCATGTAGAGCATGTGCCCGATTCCGTGGACCCTTACGGCATCGTTGGTGATTATTGGTGTCCACAATGTTTGAGCAACGATGAACACAATGATCTTGCACCTGAATACATGGACATCAGTACCAGCCTCTAAAAACGGCGTGGGAGATGACCGACCTGCTAAAGGTATCTATCAAGAGGCAAGCTAACTCATGGAATTGAGAAGGCCCTGATGGGAACCCCTACTAACATGGCATTTCGAGTCCATTCTTGCTGGAATCGATCTTCAATCCGGAGGCGGATATTTGGAGACAAGAAGTGGGCTTCATACACCGATGAGCCTGCTGCGCAATATGATTGAGACGAGGCAATGTGGCTGAACCTGCTTCAAAGGTACTCTCAGTCTCGCTATCGTCGATCTCGCTACTTGGCATTCAAGGGAAGTCACAGTTGTGAACTCGAGACCCCTTGGCGAAATCCGCCAAGGTGGACGGAGTGTTTCTATGTTCAACTGCCGGAATTTGTCTAAATCCTACCTATGTTTGATGTTAGTGGCAGCAGTGGCAGGAGACTTGTAAATCTACCCGTTTTCGCCTGTCCGTTTCGTGCAGACTTTCCGCAATGAATGAGATGTTAGAGGCGAGGAAAATTCTATGAATTACTGATATCATGTAGGCTTGCCTTGTTTCTCGGAGTATTCAGACCTCGACTGGGATGGGGTTATGCTGATCATGAGAGGGCCAGGTAGATAACCCTCAATGGATTGGCTGGCTACCTTAGACAAGACAGGACGCAATGCGTCTTTTATGGAGCCTGTGATGGCCATTGAATGATATCTGCTTTAAAATCACAAAGAAAAGATATCCAAATCTCTTCAACAAGAATATGCGCCGTTCGAGCCTGTTTGCTCATCTCGAACAAAGCATCGTGCGTATACATTGGTGTTCATAATTTCCCGTAACAGCCTTTGACTTATCACTGCCGCCCGCGGTGATGTCTCCGTGTTATTCAATCCTGCATCAGTCCAAACCAAGGCTGAAGATCAATAAGAACAAGAAAGTTATCAGAGAGTATTCCAGAACAGCGCCCTGTCCACGGTTGTTGACGAGCTGAACTGATCCAACCTATCTTTCGCCTCAAATCAGCAGCCAAGGAGACTTGGTCGCTCGCATTGTGTTGTGAACGGCGCAACCGTAGGCCTGCGTCTTATATATCTGCAGTGTTGAGACTGTGGAAGACCGGATTTCCTTTGCTATGTCGTCACGCGTTCACAAGTCAGCTGCGGCTAAGTGCTCAGAACACCCCTGTCTGTGACGCAAGTATGTATAAAACAACACAAACAGGACCGGAAGTTATCTGCAAACCACAATGACTTCTTACGCGAAGTCCTTCCAATGAATCGAGACGTCTGACCGAGTCTGCGCAGATTCACTTCTAGTATCTAACTGCGAGGGCTAGGCTCAATAGCGAAGGCATCCCAACTGCTATTGCTGCTGTCGCCGCCGTCACTGCCCTCGTCCTCATCTCTGTCTTTTGAGTATCTTATATGCATTCTGTATATTCTTATATGTATGCTATTCTTATTATATTCTTATTAGAAGAATGCCTGGTCTGGAGAGTGACAGAAAGCTGATGCAATCACCAATGTTCCAAAAGTATTGCAGGTGTCAAGCTCAAGGAGGTGGTTGTGATTGCTGCGGTTGACAGACCGAAATGCGTCAAGAATTACGCATAAATACAAACTCTCCAGAAACACATTTCGACATTTGGGATGACAAAAAGAACATAAGCTTCACGGCACGTTTGGCGTGATCCATGATCTGCGACTCCAAAGTTGCCGATCACCCGGGGGTTAGGGACGTTCGGCACACATGCCCACCCACCCACATCATCCGGCAGGGCCCGAGAACTGCGTGTATGGGGACGTCCGCGGGAAAAGCGGATGTGCAGAACTGCAATAGTGAGAGTCGGCATCGTCGTCGAGTGCTTTTGCGGTCCGGCTCATAGCTGATTTTCTGATAGGTTGGCGGCAGGCCAGAGGTTTTACCGCCAGATGGGGTTTCGGTCTCGTCGGCATCAGAGTAGAGAAACCTTTGTCCGTCCTGTGGCAATTTGTGTCCGTCTCCTACTGATGCTACCAACTGAGAACTCCGTCTACAGCTGTTTTCTCCTGGACAAAGCGCGAGTGACTGTGAGGAATCCAGACCCATGCATCAGGACGGTCGGTCACATCGAAGCCATGATGAAAACACTCCACCATAGTCCGCAACCCACACTTGCCTACCACTGTTGCTTTCCCGAATGTTGTCAAATGCAATGTGTCCAGATCGATGGCTTGGTCGATACCATCTCGCGTTGCGAAGGTGTGTCGAGTACGTCGACAGAGTCGTCGATGTGCTGGCGTCCTGCGGCGATGGCATCAGTGTTCTCCAAATCTCCATCACAGCCCATCTTTAAACCATTGCCATCGTCGTGTCAAGATCCGGTCCTCGTTCTTCCCACCTCGCACCCAGCTCATCACTTCACAGCACGCCAAGAAAACCCCAAGGCTAACGATGATAAAATTCGGTTGTATTCCAAAAAACCAGCGCCGCGCTCAGTAGTAAAATAAAATGGTATCGCAAATGTCTAGAATCACATTAATAGGTCGTGGTAGCCTGAAACCGCCCCCCTTTTTCCTGTTCCTTTCTTTTTTCCCTTGGTGGTTACAATCATGAATGCCTCTCGAGGTCCTCCTCGTCGCGGTACGGGGGCACGTCTGAGCGGAATGACGGGGCCTTGCAGGGCTTCTCGTCGCCTTCCAGGCGGATTTCTCCTTGGGGGAGAGTGTAGTGGCTGCGGACCCTGTTCATCATTAGTCTCATGTTTTTGAATGTGCTTTATAGAAGAGAACTCACCCTTGGAACGTCGTGCCGACCGTCTCCAGCACCAAAAGAACCAACACCAGAGCGATGACGGCGCCCAAAACGATCAGGTCGGGGTGCTGCTCAAAGATGGCGATCGTCGGCTTCGGCACCTGCACGTGCTTCCAGCAGGGCACCCTCGAGGGCATCAGCTCCGCAAGGCCGTCCTTGAGCGTCATCGGCTTGATGGTCTCGGGGGACCCCGTGCCGTCCACGTCGACGACCCTGTCCTTTGCTGCTTGGGGGTGCTTCGACAGGGCCTGGAGGTAGTCGGTCTTGAGCGGCCTTGGCGCCGCGAGGACGAGTGATGGCGGGATGACTCTTGAGGGGGAGACGGGGCGGTTGTCGAAGATGACCTCGACCTTGCTGTCGTCGGACTGCTCCTGCTCCTGAATGATGGCGACGGGGCGCATGCGGTGCATGGAGACGCGGGTGATGTGTGTCCAGCGGCGAGCCTCACCCTTGATCTGAGAGACCATGTCGGAGATGGTCATGGGGACGGGCATTGCTGTGGCCATCTCGGCGAGGCCCAGGGCGTAGAGGAGTGTTGAGGGCTTCATGGTGGTTGTGTGTGTTGGTGAGGTGGTGAATGATTCGTAGTAGACGGTGTCGTTGGTGTTCTCTACAGATGTGCTTCGAGGGTCTGACTGAAGCTGAGAGTTGCTGTGTAAGCTAATGTATGTCGGTGTATGTGTCGTGAAGATGTCGTGGGTTGATCGTGTGACCGTTGTGTAAGTTGTCTTCAGCCTCTGTAATAACTCTTAATCCACCAATACTCCGACGCCAAGGCGCATAGACGGCAAGTTTATATTGAAGAATATGCGGGTGGCAAGCAGCACCTCTCTCAAGGTTGTTGTTGTATGTAGTCGAAGAGTAAAAGTGGTGGTGGTGGGTGTTGATGCGGGGGATGAACAGCCGTGGGTGGGATGTCAGGTCTGGGCACCCGATTTATTAGAGGAAAAAAAAGAGAGGACCGGGGTCGTAGCGGCCGAGAGTCAGGTTCCAGGCACAAGGGCGAACCCGAGCGCAGCGTAGAGCCAAAAAAGAGGTTCCGGCTCAAAGCAGAGCAGAAAGACAGAGAGGGTCCGTGATGGAGGGCGGGAAACCTCGAAGGCGAGTGAAACAAAACAAGTAACGGCTCTGAGGTGTGGCTCGCCGATGCAAGATGCGCGAGGAATGAAGAAGATGGGACGGGGCGACTAGTAAGGACGGCCGGATGCGGGAGGGTGGTGGTGGGCAAAGATGTGTGAGTGTGTGAGTGAGAGGAAGGGTGTTCGTGGAGTTCTTTTTTGACGTGCCAAGGCGAGAGGCGGAGGCTTGGTGGTAATATAGACAAAAGAGAACCGGCCGAGAGGGAAGGAAGTGCGAGAACAGATTAGTCTGGAATGGGATCTATCCGTAATCAGCTGTAGGAACGATGGGCACTGGGGGCGGCGTGGGTGTTTATTATGTCAAGACTCAGATCGAGAGAGAGAGCGAGAGACTTGGTGAAAGAGAGGGCGGCACTGGGAAACTATGTAATAACGTAAAGGTACCTTTTTTACGCATTGGGATTGATTTGACATGGCCTGGCTTGCCCGAAGACGGTCGGTCTGCTGCTACCTAGCTCGAGGTATTCTCCGTTCACTTTTCTCTGCTCGACTCCGTCTTGGATGCTGCTCTCACAGACAAGTCCAGCCCAGGTCCTTCCTCTCTCTCTCCTCTCCTCCCCCCAAAAGCGGGCGTCCAGGGGCCCTTGGGAGAGAGGGACGGAGGAGGAGGAGGGACGGCGGCAGGGTCAGGGCCCAGGGATCTAGGCTCGGCCAGGGATGCAGGGATGCTCTGGACCCTGTGTTGTGGACGACTGCGGTTGCGCCCTGGTCGACGGCGGCGCGCGATTCGAACATGGTCTCCGACATGCTGTTTCTGCTTGGCCTCCTTCCGACCCTGTGCGGCCCTGTTTCTTTCTGGCTGTCCTGTTCATGTCACGACATGCTGCAAGCTGCACCTGGATCGCTTGCCTTTAAACTTTCGAGGCAGCCAAGCCCAGCAGCGAATCCAACACAGCTAGCGCCCTGGCTGGGACACAGCAGCATTCCGACATGGCAGGGGGAGGAAGCCAACGAAGGGCCACTGCGCAGCGGCCAATTGATTGAGCTGACTCTGGCAGAGTGCTAACGAGAACGAGAGTAGAGAGAATAGCCTGCCGTGTAGCCGATCTCTGTTCAGTCAGGCTCGGGCGATCCCTGGCGTTTGTGTGTTATGCCGGAGCGCAGTGTACTGTTGTACAAGCTTCACAGATATGATTCTGTTGGCGGTCTTCTCTTCGGGGGATCGGTTTTCTCGGCACCCATGTTTAAAAGGCGACGAAGATCCCTTGGGGGCCCCCGTCCCCCCGTCTCCCGCGACATGTTTCCAAAAAGTCTTCGTGTGTCCCGATTTAGGATCGAACGAGACGACGGGGAGAGAGAGGTTGGCGGCGATGGGTTGGTGGGCGCGGGGTGAGCTGGGCCTTGCCTGGCACTACTACCACATTGTCCCAAACCCAGAGGGCACGCTTTTAGCTGTGTGCCTTGGCTCGCCGTGTCACCAAGGATGGTTGGTGAGGTCCCCTGGATGGATGGACGAGTCGGCTATCCACCAGTTGGGGTACGGGGGCTGCACGACGGACTGCACCATGTACGGCGGGTGGGGATTGGGGGGAGGAGGTCAGGCACCCTTCTGCAGGCTGCAGAGTGAAGACCCAGTGCAAAAGAAAGAGAGCGAGAGAGGGCCGCGGGATCCAAGGGACGCGAGAGAGAGAGCCTGAGAGCATCTGAAAGGGAAAGTGGCACATCCCGGTCGACAGATCCCCATGTGTCACGCCCGAAGGCCGGACGAGGGGTCCCATGCGTGCGTGAGTTCGGCGGGTTTCCATTGGCGTGTTGGAGTCTGTTGAAGGTTGAGGTAGACCGAGGGTAAAGAAGAAGGGACGAATGCACAGAGACTCGTAGCATTGGGAAGGGCGCCTCTGGACTGGACGGGTTCCAGGGGAAGAAAGGCTCGACGCTTGCTGTCACAGCATGAGGTGAGGTTCAAGGTGGGAGGATGGATGGATGTGGGCCAGCGATGTGCTGCTTGGGATGGGGGTGGCTTGCAGGGCAGGGCCTTAGGTAAGACCGAACGGGATGGTCAAGCTTTTGGCTCCGCTGCTTCAGCTAATTACAGGTATTCCTCGGCTCTGAATCGACAAGGAGTGCGGCGTGCTGCCGGCGGGGAACAGGAAAAGAAGCAAATGCCAAATAATATGGCGTTCTGTTTGGTCATGCACGAGACGCGGAAACGAGAGAGAAAGAGGCATGGAAAAGCAACAACACAGCTCTCTCTCGCAAGACAGACCAGACCTGTGTGAGAGAGACGGCAGGCAGGTCTGTCTATCCTTCTCTGGGGCGGCTTGCAGTCTGCAGATGCAGGGCTAGCTGATGACCCCATTCGGACAGCACATTGTCTCATTCGCCATTGTGATTCGTGGATGTGCCTGTCCACCTCTGGGGATTCTCGCTAGTGCTGCGTACTATGTAGAGGTGATGGATCAATGTGGTGGTGAGCTCTTGGCTCTCGAGGTGCAGGTATTCAAGCTGATGCTTTCTGATTAAAGACTATCACGTATGATGACGATGATGGAAGACGACGGATCGTGAGGAACAAAGGCAGACAGGGAAGATGTGGCCCGATGATTAAACTCGAGTAAAAAAGTATGCCTTGCACAACTCAGAGGATCAACTCAATTCCAAAGCAGGAAACCCATCGAATGCCACAACAGCAGCAGCACCAAGTCATGCAGCACCCCAGGAGCACGACAGCCAGCCACGAAAACGCCCAGTACCACAGCTCCCCTTTCCCACAGGATCCAGCAAAATCAAGCTTTCCCAAGTGTTCCCTCACACCAGCTTGGCCTCTCCTCTGCGGTGCCTTCGCTCGCCTGCTCCTCCCCATCTTTCATTTCCCCATTTCCGCCCGTCCACATGTGCGAGCGGGAGCACGTGGGGAGGTGCCCTGTGTGAGAGGCTCGCTTGCAAGCATCAGCCCATCGGGCGAGTCCCCTCTGTGTAAATGAACAAAAGTCATTGCCATTGCCCCGTGACTGACTGCCAGCCGAAGCAGAGCACACAATATCGCCGCGTCCAGGCCGTTGGCATCGGAGAAAAAAACGAGGAAAAAACACAGCGAGAGAGGACCCATTCATTGATTAAGAAGCCCACTCAGAAGAGGCCCTCCGGCACGGGCGCTCTCCCAGCCACGATAATGGTCGATTACCGTGCCTGTCCATGTCCCATGTGGACGCCGTAGAATTGCGCACGGCACGCGGCAGCCCGCCTCTGGCTCTAACAAAATACGCCATATTAGGGCGCATTTGGACAGACGAGGGAGAGACACACACACACACAGAGAAACCAGGCTCCCTGCCCGGTGCTTATCCATTGGTGTTGCTCTCGCGGTTGCTGTCCGTGTTAGCGTTCCATTGGACTTTCTGACCGTGTTGTATTCTCGTTGGGTGCCATGTGGAATATCAGTCCCTAGAGCTGAAGCTAGGCGACGACCCTCCCCTCTTCTAGTGGGTAGCTGTTAAATTAACTATATCGTTTTGTTATTTTGCCCACGCTAGCCTAGTTAAGAAGCCGCACTACTGCTACTACAGTTAATCCACCCCTCTAAGTACTACCCTCTTAAGCTATAATATCCTATTATTAATTCTATTAACTTAGCTAAAAAAACCCCTACTAATATATATACCTTTATTTAGAAATAAAATTAAGCTTATTAGAGGTTTTTATTATATTATTTATCTTCTAAATATATTAAATTATTAATTTTCTTATATATTCTATATTTTTTTAAAATAGTTATAATATTTAATATCTAGATCTAAGCTCCTATTTTTAAGAAGTATTAGCTATATATTTATATTTAGTATTACTCTAAAAGTATTATACTATATAAAAGAAGAGTGAATAATAGTAGAAATTAATATAATATTTATTATAATTATACTAATAAGTATATATTAATTATAATAAAGTAAAAAATATATATTAAGTAGTATAACTACTATTTTAAAAGTAAGATTTAATATATTATTACTATAGAGATATAAGTATAAGAAATTATTAATAGTTTTAAGTATTATAATTATAATCTTATTATTTAAAATTAGTTTAATATAATCTTTATTTTCTAAAAACTTACTATTAATAAAGTTAAGTTTATTATTAAAATTTCTAAAAAGCTACTAAAAAAAACTTTATATAAATATATTAAAGAGCTCTTTATTATTAATAACTTAATATTATATATAATAATTAGATTTTTATAATAAGAAAGCTATAAATTTAGTTTATAAAATATTTATAACTATTAATATTACTTCTATAAGGATAAATATAGCTTATTAATATTAATTTAGCTTTTTTTTAAATATATTAATTAAAAGAGATAATATAGCTTACTATATAGTTTAGTATAGTAATAATAATAAAATTAATAGTGTTTTTTAGATATATAAACTCTATTTAGATATACTAAAGAGAAATCTAAAGTTATT